CCAGAGAACTTTACAATGCTTGCAAGTAAGTAAAAACAGATGTTGTAAAGTTTAGAAAATCAAGACATTATTTTCCTGTTTCCATTGATTTTTTTTCTAAACACATTATAAATAAGCTTTGAAGTAATACAAAATACCCTGTTTGTTTTGTTGATAGCATCTTTTTGTAAAAAACGTTATCAATGCTTGTTTAAGTTATAGACTAAATGATATCTCAGTGTGGTCAAACAACCGACTGTATCTCTTTGCAAATACAATGTTGAAATACTTGCAGTGTCTGAGTCCTCTAAGAGTCTATCTGATTAGATCTTTTGAGTTTAATTTCAAACAGCTTAAATATTTTTGTATGCTTCCAGAATGTAAAAATTAAAGTGAAATCTTTTATAATTACTTCCAAATAATGTGACTTTGCTCCAGAAGTCATTTAACCCAGTAAATAATTCTTCTCAAATCTTTGGTTTTTCTAAAGACATTTAAAATCATGATTTCAACAGCTTTGCTCATATTTCTAGACTTATACTTTAACTTCAACAAACTTTATGAACTGATAGTATCCAGAGCCAGGTACAGACATTACATTTTAATTGGTATAAGTGATTGGAAACCAGTCTATACCCATTACAGACTAGAAGTTGGGCATACAAAACTGGTCTATACCCATAACAGAACAGAAGTTCAGCAAACATAAACTAGTTTAAAAATGATGGAATCCAGTCTAACATTTGCTCCCCCGACCAAAGGGCAAATGTGTGTTCTGTTTATAACAATCTAAACTATGCCACTTACAGAAAACTGCATAACTTATATTGTTTCTGCCTCATGCTTTTTGAATGTCTGTGCCTAGCCCAGACAAATGCATCTGTGGCATGCACACTGTATGCTGTCTATGTGATTCCATAAAGGACAGGACATTTGCAAAATGGCAAGGATTTTCCCAATTTGGTGAAGCATTTCTAAATAGTAATCAGATATTTGGGAGCATGTACATCCAATCGGTACTGGGTCCTAAAGGGAGTGTTTGAAGTCAAGTTTAAATGTGTTCCATTAAATTAATAGCTAAATCATATAGTCATATAGAACAGCCATTTCCCATTCATTCCTCATTCATTTTGAGTTCTGGAGTGGCTGCGGGTCAGACATACAGCAGGAGGAATATTTCTGAAACTTTCACATATACTGTTTGTTTTGTAATAGACCCACTCCTCCCAGAATGATCTTGGGTATTTTCATGACACAGGATTAGAATTTGGAGAAGTAGAAGGTGGCTTCTCAGATGCTCAGTGCTTGCAGTGTTAGTGCACTGGCAGGCAGCATTAGCAGTGGACAGAAAGGTACACAGATTGTATTCAGAACTACAAGTACAATGCTCTGAATCTTTGCACTTTGTCTTCAGTATTTTGGTGCCTGTTCTTGCAAGAGTTAGGTAAAGTTTAACTACTATTGTAGCAGGCTTGCCTTTCATAGTTTGGGTTGAGTCCCAGGCTTGAGATTTTGCTGTTTTGATTGGTGGAGCCCATCCACCAATCAGAAGGCAGCAAGAGGAGTTAAGTCACGCCCCTTTCCTGAGGGGAGAGGGAGAGGAGCTCCCCTGGACCTGATTGAAGACTGCAACACTGTCAGGTCTGGAAGACTTCAGGGGCGGAGCCCTGGAGAGTATAAAAGGAGCTGCATGCCCAGCACTAGGGAGATGAGTCAGGGATGAAGAAGAGACGAGAGTGGGGCTTAGAAAAGCTGAGGAGAACTGCTCAGCAAGGCGAAGAACCCCAGAGGAGCCTCTGATGACTTCCATCAGTGGGGAATGGCAGACGGCTCTAGCAGCTAGGTTCTCAGTGCACAGCATGGTACACGGTGTCCAGACCCTGGGAGCTGCGTGAGGCGGCTCAGGTCTGCAAACTCAGGGTTGCGGCCAGAAATATGGTGCACAGGCCGGTGCATGAAGCAGGATCTTTGGAGCACTTGGGTGGCTCAGGTCCCTAACCCCTGGCACAAAGCTGGGAGCTCGGTGCATGAGGTGCTGAACAGAGGGTCTGGGAACAGACCAAGCCTGGTGCTGCACGAGGCAGCCCAGGCCTCCAACCCATAGCAAAAGGTTGAGTCCAGGGAGCCAGACGGTGCTCGGGCTACTGAGCCAGTAGACAGAGCCAACCCAGAGGCCCCAGAAGCCCTGCATAGCAGAGCCCTGTTCCAGGGGACAGCGACCCCCCCGCCCCCCCCCTGAAGCCCACCGCAGGTGAGATAGCAACTTGGCATGAGGACGAGGGCCACCCTCCAGGCCTGGGAGCCGTGAGTTGTAGGGGAAAAGGATTTCCACAGGGTTGGGGGAGTCCCCCCTGGTTAGTTAAGGGCTCCTGAAGTGGAGGTCCTACTGGGAGGGCCCCCTGAAGCTACCAGTTTCCTTGAAGGGCTTGGGAAAAAGCCCAAGGGCATTGGGGTATCCCCTTGGGATTAAGTTTATCTTTGAGGTTCTTGCACCATAAGCGGTGTGATGTCATGCTTTATATTTTGTGAACTCTCATGTTTGTAAATTAGTAGATGAGTAGAGTCCTAGGACTCTGCTGGGACCCCCTTTTGCTATTATTTCAGCTGTTGTTTGTTTTTATTTATTTGTGGCTTATTTATTGTTCACCTATACTTATCTATAGTTTATCTGTTGGCTATCTATGTTTATTTTGGTGTTTTCTATTTCAGATCAGATACTTACCTGTGACTTACTTGTATCTGGAGCACTGTTATAAGGTTTTATAGCATTTACCCAGAGGGTATTGTTTATGTTATTTGTTTAGATATTATATATATATTGTACATATGTTTATATCCATGTGTCTTTTCCATGTGATAACTTAATGTAAATAAATGTGTATATAGTTAAGTTCCCTGACTGTCCTGGCCTGTTTCTATAGGGACGGAGGGATACTGAGCTGTCTGTAGTTCCCCCACAGCACACCTACCAGCTAATAATTCCCTTCAGTTGGAGAAGGGGAGTATATACCCAAGTACACCTGGGCTACACTATATTACAGGGATTGTTTAAAAATTGTTGGTTTTAGATGCTTGGGGTCTATAAAGTGACAGTACTTTAAAATATGATCCTGTGAGTCACGTGTCTTTAGGCATAAGCGAAAATTCTTCTCTTTTTGTCTGACCTGTAATGAGCATGTGCAAATTCTGCATGCACAGTTGGTGCATTTGCACACTTATTTGCCACAGGTGCAAATACCTGTTTGCATTCACTCATGTAGTAACTGTTTTTGCACATAGGCACATAAGTGTGTGTGATTAAATATAGCCTGCAGTTTGAAAATTTACCACTATATAATGTTTCAGCTTTTCTATATTCTCTTATCTTTTATTACTTAATCATGCAAGGCAATTAAACTAATTTAAGTTAACAAAATATTAATGACTGAAATAAATAAGAAGTTGTCATATTAGAACTGTTCAGCACAATGGCATGTGGCAGACAGATTGTAACACTAGATTTAGGGTTCTGAGACCCTTGGGTTCCCTAAGGGCCAGTGCAGCCATAAGTTATCCTTTCCTGCCATTCTTGATCTTTGCTTAATATATATCTCTCCGTGATGAATTTTGCCTGGTTGCATAACTGAAAGTATAGTGCTTTGATCATTAAAAGAAAACTAAAAGTCTTGGTTCTTCTATGCCTGCTGTTTTGATGCTGTTGTCTATCTTACTGCCCTTTTAAGCATACCTGGGTGAATCTACATATACACTTTACTGTGGAATTGACTAATTAGCTCTACTGGTATTAGGGCACAATAAATTAACTCCACCATAAAATAGTACTGTCCGGGACAGTACTATCTTATGTTAGAGTAATTAAGTGCAATGGAACACGTGTAGACAGTGACAAGGGTTTACTGGTGCACGAGGTTGCTACAGTGCAGTGGCTGCCTGCCGCACAGTTCCACACTTTAGCCCAGTTGTGCCCCAGCCAGCCCCTTTGCCAACCAACACCACCACCTGGAGCCCAGGGCTGACCACCCCCCACCCCCCGAGGCCTGCTGCCAGCCCCAGTCTGCTCCACCGTGGCTCAGACTGCTGCTGTCCCAGGTGTGCGTCCAGACACTGCACCCAGATGCTGCACCCAGAAGCAGTTGACTCTGGCAGAAACAGCTCTGGAGTTTATTGTGTCGCATTAATTGAACATATAGATGCATCCCTTGTTGCTCTCCTCTCTCACTACTACCTGGACAGTTTTATGAAAGATAAAGGCAATTTTTAAAAATCTAGTTTTATCTCTCTCTCATGGATTATTTTTGTGATGTGCCTGCAATCTTCATTTCCCTTCTTCTCATCTCTGTGTAGCAGGCATGCTACTGCAATTATTTCTAGTCTATAATTTTTTTAAGCTGTGTCTTTATAGGAGCATCAAAATAGCATCTACACCTAACTTGTTGTCTATTTACATTTTCCAAATCCCCAAAGCACTATCATTCTTTGACCTTATGAAGTTAGTGTCACTGTGGTGTGCTATATTTAAATTGCTTGTTCTGTGGCTATTTTTTTTATTATGTGGATGTACTGTCCATGGCTGATATTGATCTTTAGTTGCTATTTCAATACAAATAATAAACAATAGCAGAGGTATGAGCATCTATTGGCTAAGAGTTGAACAGAGACCCTTAATTTGTTCAAATAGGCCATTTCTGAGCCACCAGAAGAAAATTAATTTTGGCCAGTGTAAAGCTCTTTCTCTGGAGCACAATGGTCAAGACAATGTAAATAAAACATTAAGCTACTTAGATTGAACTACATTATTTACAGCATTCCAGGAAAATCCACATTGTGATTTTATTTATTAAAACTGATAATGCAGTGAAAATTACTGCACATAATTTTTCTGAAGGAATAAATTTTATTAGCATTCTTTGTCTATCCCAGTATGAGTAAGTTTTTACATGTTTTTTTCCTGTTTTCAGGAAAGAAGCCTAGCACTCATTTAAATTGAAAAAACATGTACTACTAATACAATGCATATGGGACTTCTTTTCTCACCTTTTATCTTCACAAATGAAGGTATGGTTTGCACACTCAGATGTAATTTTACAAGATGCTTTAGAATATAAATCTATAGAACTACTGAGCATTTTAGCTGTAAAATGAAAATGATGAAAAGTTGCACTGTTTTTAGAGCATCATTAATATTTACAAAGGGAACTCTTAAAAGGTTCATCTGCTTATTTTTACTACTGTACTTTAGTTATAGTATCACAGAAGCAAAGCAGTTGATTGATATAAGCAACTTTCCTTTGATACGTGTGACAAACAATGACTTTCTTAAAGTTTGCAGAGAAATTGAAATCAGCAAATATATCATCCTTTTTAGCTCATATCTGTCTCAGAGAGTGTGTGTTTATTTTCAGCATATCCTCTGTTCACACTCCACCACAGAATTCAGTGGTACATTGGTACAAAACAAACAATGCACTAACCTTTTCTTCAACAAGGTTAAGTTGCTTCTGACAGTTTCCTTGAAAAGATTTTCTAGTTTTAACATTACCCTTTTGTTTCGAATGCCACCTTCAGAGTATCTGCCTTAGGGCAAGACACCTCTGAAGAACATTTCATGAACCTAAAATGCTGCAATCGGAGAGATTTCTATCAGGAAAATTGTACCACAACTCCCTAAATGCAAAGAAGTCTCTGTTAGGAGTATGACCTGTCTAGACATTCGGTGATGTGTTTTTCATTACCAAAAAATCTGAGGCTCACCAAATGATAGTTACGGTATGCTCATAATTAATTTACCCTATCTTTTTGTTCTTTTGTGTTGTCTCTTAATACTGAGGAGATGAATTACTGCTTCCAGTTTAAAACTTAACATCTTAATTATTAGATTTCATTACTTATATTCTGATTTTGTATTTTTGTTTGCCAGATCTAGTCATATAGCATGTAGCCATGTCATGCTATAATTTAATTAAAAGAACTTTCATTTAAGACAACGGTGTCACAACCCAAAGTTGTGGGGTTTTTTGTTTGTGTGCGCTTCGGCATCGCTAAATCATGTTCCCGCCAAATTGCAGCTCTTTTGCACGGTGGAGTGTTCTGTTGTAATGGAGAACCCACGTGCAGGAGCTTTCCCCGCCAGTTCTGTAGCTTTCTTTACATAGTGCATTTCTTTTGCATTATAGTGATGCACGATGCAAAGGAGTTCCTGCCATTTGTATTTAGATTCGTGCCACATTATTGGCCGGTTCTAAATGTAGGCATACGTGGTGGCTAGTTATTGGCTTGCTAGCCGTACAAAAGGCTTGGGTAGTTTCCGCCCAAGTTGGAGAGAGAGAAAGCACGTGGAGTTCGGGAAAGGAGCGTGAAGATCTCTAAGCGCTGCTGATCCATATGAACCCAGCTTTTTCCTTAAGAGGGCAACAGAGGTTTAATTTGTCGAACCCACGGAGCTTCAACAACTCCGGGGGACCTGGGAACCGAGTAACACTCACAGAGATACAGCTGCTCTGTGGGAACGAATTCTTGAACCCGCGGAGCCTGAATCACTCCGGGGTCAAGGAACCGAGTTTATTAGAGTCCTCCACCGAGAACTCAAGCGGAGCTGTGCCTGGAAAGCTGACCAGCCTACACCGCGACCACCTTGGGTGTAAGTAAATAATCTTTTCAATCAACCATTACACCTCCGTGACTGATTCTAGCTCGAGCGTACCAAACCGCGCCATGGTTTTTCTCCAGCCCCGTGTACCCGGGCTGCCGGCCACAGCCTGTGTACACAGAGACGGGCCCGGCTCGCCCCCTGCTTGCACATGGCGACCCAGATGGGATCGAGAGAGAACTCACACATGGCGATCCAGGTGGGATCAGGAGAGGGCCCGCACAAACGGGAGAGGAGTCTTGCATTAAAAACCATTTTAAATGCTATTATAGCCCATAGTTATAAAAGACTACTACTATAGTCCCTGGCTTTTGATGTGGAAAAATAATACCATCCTGAGGCAGACATGTGAATAATGCAGACAGCATTATAGGTGAGTGAAGCTAGCAAGAAAGCATGTGTGCTTGTGAGGAGGAAGGGGGGTTACAGAAAAAAAAAATATTAAAAAAGAGAAAATAAATGGACTTTAGTAAGTCTGAGTGATCAGTAAAAAGGAAAATGGACCAAATCATCAAAATGTAATATATACTTTACAGTTTGAAAACCTGAATCTTTCATAAGTCTCCTATGAAGGAGTCCTGCAGAAGGAGATTGGCAGCTGCCAAGCAGGAACATATGAGAATACACTTTAGCTAGGGGTGGATCCAGGGAGTGGGCTCAGCAGTGCAGTTGCATCCTTCTCCCCCTCCCCCCTTTGATTAGAATTTGGAGATGTAGAAGGTGGCTTCTCAGATGCTCAGTGCTTGCAGTGTTAGTGCACTGGCAGGCAGCATTAGCAGTGGACAGAAAGGTACACAGATTGTATTCAGAACTACAAGTACAATGCTCTGAATCTTTGCACTTTGTCTTCAGTATTTTGGTGCCTGTTCTTGCAAGAGTTAGGTAAAGTTTAACTACGCTCCCCTCCCCCTTCCCCCTTTGATTCCTGCTCTTCTCTAAGTGTAAAACAAACTGCCTGACAAGGACAGCCTCGTTTCTATTCAGATAGAGCTGAGGGAGTCAGTTGACTTCATGGTTCCTAATTATCTACTTGATTTCTGCTAATCTCCTCACTCCATATGTGTTAATAACCCTTGATTTTTCCTCTAATCAAACTGGTCTTTCTTTTGTAACTATCCTGTCATAATCTACCCCGGTGATGTTTCTCTGCTCACCCCTCAGCATGTCCAATAAAGGCGTACTGCTACCTAGGAACATGTACTGGGTGACTTTGTTCCTAGGGGCTTTGAATCCACAGCAAATCGGACAGGGAGAGCAGGAGCAGGGCTTCAAGCAGGCTTATCTTTGCAGTGGCTCAGCAGTCAGAGACATGAAGGAGTTACAAAGGTGAGACAGGGAGTGTCTACATGAGATGCTACTGTTCATTTGTTACTGCGCATGTATTTAGTACTTGTTTTAGCAAGTACTAATTGCGCAATAACTGGAGTTACTGTACAGTAGTGCCGGCAAACATCTTTTAGGTGACGCTACTACACAGTAGCTTAATAACACAGTGCAGTAGTGTATTACCACTGTCTATGCTGTGATGCACTACTATACAGTCTTTTTCAGTTACTGCTTAGTTAGCATCTAACGTAGACGTGCCTGCAAAGAAATAAATTACTGTAGTGACCCTTTCCTGGGTTATTCATTGTAACAGATGACAGAGTCTATGAGAGACTGAACCAGTGGCACAGCCAGGGCAGTGGAAAGCTGGGGTTGGTCTCCCTGGGCAGGGGCACTGCTAGCTTCAGGGTGCAGTGAATTCATAAGGGCAGTGAGAGGGCAGGGTAGGATTCAGAGGGGTGTGAGAGGGATGGCGGGATCTGAAGGGTTTGGAGCATGATGGGGTGAGGCTGAGAATGAGAGATTGAGTAGAGCTAGGGGGCATTTAAGCTTTCAGGAGCAATGTGTAGAGAACAGTGAGGAGCATATTGGGGCTATGATGAAGTGTCTGCAGGTCTCATCTACGGGTACAGGGAGCAGTTCTGTCCATGGTTAGATTGGGAGGTAACAGCTGCATACCCTTCCCCCGCCTCCCCTCCACACCCTGACACTAGGGCTAGGGACGGACATTCAAAAAGCCTGAGCCTGAATTGATTCAACCTTTGCAGGTTAATCTAACCTGGCTAGGCTGAACTGGTTTCCATCTATACAGACAATGCCTCTGGACTGAGGAAATTCAGATAGATGCCTGCAGCAGCTCAGGCTAGAAGCTGAGAGGGCGCTAGAGCAGCCCTCCCTTCCCTTATACAGAGTTGAGCTGAGGCGGGCATGGCTAGGCCCTGGCAGGACTTTCTCATTCGGGAGGTCTGCATGCACCATCCCAGGATTTTCCCTGCTGGCTACTTAAGTGATGGGAGAGTTGTCAGCCCCTAGACCCTTGCTAGCACTCTGAGGCAAGTGGGGTGGGGGGGTGTAATGCATGCATCTGTTGATGATACAGAGATTTATAATCTCCCTGCTTGTCAGAGTGTCTGCAGCAAACTGACAAGCAAGCAAGGTAGCCCGGAGCTGATAAGAGTGTTTATCACCTGATTAGCAAAACAATAGCCTCTCTCCTATGACTGTGTGAAGCTTCAGTCCCTGACTCGATTTGGCCCAATTTGGTGGCCAAATCTCCAAATCTGAGTTGAATCAGGAGACACTTTAATCTCTCTGAATCAAATCAGAACCCTCCAAATCGATTTGGAGAGATTCGGAAAGATTTGGCAATTCGGACATAGACACAGTTTTAAACATTTTTTCTACATACCTCTAGGTAGCGGGCTGCTCATGAATGTTGTGCTGCATGGAGGGCTCCCCAGCATGCTTGACAGAAGACACAGAAGTGGACCAGAAGCACTTTGGTCTGCTTCCAGGTCTGCCAGGGAGTGCATCGGGGGGAGCCCCCCATACCTTCCCAGCTCAGCAGTGAGTGCCTCCTGGGTCTGGGTGGGGGGCACCTGTGTAGAGGAAGCGTAAATGCCACAAATCTGAGTGCAATGAATCCCAAATATGTATTCCTCCTTTATATTTTCTGTTCACTATTTGGTTTGAAAAATTAATTCTAAGAGCCTTTGACATAACTTAAAGATATTTCACAAATAATGTCCTAAATATAGCAGTAAGGTAACCCATCCTATAAATAATAAGCCAGACAATTTTAAAAAAGCAAATGACCTTTCCTCTGTAACATTTCCCCACCCTTAAACATAAAAAATTTATACTATGCCAAAATGAGCTTCAGGTATTAGTTAATGGGAATTCCAAAGCCAGATAGTCCTATGAAGAACACTTTGCCAGTAGTTCCATACTAGTCGTGCCAATGGGACTTCAGTTTTAGCTCTTCTGCTGATATCAGCTCTACCATGTCATGGAGAGAGGCGCATTCTACCTTTGTTTGGACATGTCTTTACATAGTATTAGGGCGAAGCAATAAAAGCTAGCA